AACTTTAAAATTGGTACAATGTTCCACAATCAGATCCAATTTAAGTTGCCAGAAATGGACTGTAATCATTGTCACCACATGGTTGGATTGGAAGGTCTGTGTTACATCTCCAATGGAGAATGACAATATGTGGCTTTATATAGGATCCTGGATAGAAAAACATAATTGATTCTGTTGATGTAGTTGCAATTTAAAGATCTGATATCATTGCCATCATAACGATCAACAATTCAAGTGATGGATAAGATAGGCATAAGTGAACTTCCTTTTAAATAATGCAATTATATATTTGATTTAACTACTTAAAATCTATTGTACAATTACCAGGCCAACAGATTCATTTTATAAAAGTTGAACTAAACTTGCTATAAGTAAGGCAGTAATTCAGGATGTGTTCTTATGGAAGAAAATGATCAAAAGCATTTGCCTTGGATTACTTTTTTAATGCTCATTTCTTTTCAGCTACTTGAAAGGCAGAGTGACAGTGAGACAAAGAGAGGTGCTTCATCTGACAGCTAACTCTCCATATGCCCAAAATAGCTAAGGCTGGATTAGGCTGAATCCAGGAAGCTGAAAACTCATTTGAACCTCTTTCATGGGTGACAGGGGACCAAGCACTTGAACCATCATCTGCTACTTCCCAGGATGCATTGGCAGGAAGCTAGATTGGAAGTGGAGGATCCAGACACAAAGTAGTACTCAGATATGGGTCAAGGACATCTCCAGGATGACCCAAGTCACAGCACCACCACAACACTCACCCCTGGACTCTTTAAATAATGAACACCCATCTGTGATGAAATGTTTGCTAATCATTCACTATGATTAGAAGTGTAAAATGTGATGGTGCACAAAACTAAAAAGGGTCTTGGACCACAAATGAAAATCAAGTTAAAAATATGTTAGCAGATCTCAAAGTATATCTTTAGTTACTAGGTAAAAATATTCAATTATCAAAACCTAACTTAAAGCAGTTTTGAAATATTTGTAAATATGTCAGTTTGGCTGTATTTGCTAAGTTTATTAAATAGTTGCAAAATATTGAGGATGGCACTGTGGCATAGTGGACTAAGCTTCTGCCTGCAGTGTCGGAATCCCATACAGGTGCTGGTTCTTGTCCCCATTGCCCCTCTTCTGAGCCAGCTCGCTGTTATTGCCTGGGAAAGCAGTGGCAGATGGTCAAGGTGCTTGGACCCCTGCACCTGCATGGGAGACCTGGAGAAAGCCACTGGTTTCTGACTTCAGATTGGCTAGGCTCGAGCTTTGGCACCCATTTGGGGAGTGAATCGCAAATGGAAGATCTCTCTCTCTCTCCCTCTGTCTGTAACTCTGCTTCTCAAATATTATCCCTCTTAGTAGTTTTTTTTTTTGTCTGTTCTACTTATTATGACTGGTTTAATTCTGTAATTAATACACAGTTATTCTTAAGTGTTGAAATTTAACTGAAATGTGATCCCTGTTAAACATAAGAGTGGGAATAAGAGAGGGAAGAAATGTACAGTTTGGGACATGCTCAAGCTGACTTGCCCCAAATGGTAGAGTTAGAAACATACCAGGGGACTCCAATTCAATCCCATCAAGGTGGCATGTACCAATGCACATCTTATCTAGTCCAAGTGATCAATTTCAGTTCACAATTGATCATAATGAAAGGACTAAGAGTCAAAAGGAGCACATAAACAAATCTAGTACCTGCTAATACTAACCGATAGAATAAATAATGGGGAGAGTGATCCAACATGGGAAGTGAGATACTCAGCAGACTCATAGAATGGCGGATGTCCTAAACAGCCCTCTGGCCTCAGAATCAGCCCTAAAGGCATTTTGATCTGGCTGAAAAGCCCAAGAGAGTTTTTC